ATAGGAAGCTGAATTATGTCCATGTATGCCAGCCCTCCCCAGAGACCTGTGGCCAAGCCTTCCCTTTGGTGGGTGTGCTATAGGAAGGAAAAAAATAGAAATAATTTAATCTCCTGAAGATCCCAGGATCAACCAGATAATCTCTCGAAACTGCTTCCTCTGTCTTTGAATTTTATTTTAATTGTAGGATCCATATCTGGTTGACATGAGGTTTTACTAGAAACACATCAATAGGACCAAAGTGATTTCTTTATACCCTTTTTCCTTTAGCATTCTCTTTCCTCTGATCCATCCCCCACCCCCACCCTCCATGGGCTCTGGGAGAAAGATCTGTTCTATGTGCTTCTGTGGGAATGGCATGGGGGTTCTCCCTTGACTCTGGGTTTCTTAAAGCCTCAGTGTGGTTTCGCCTCCCAGTTCTCCAGAATCAAGGATAGTTCCAGAGAGTGCTCCAGAAAGCCACCTTCCCCATGTCCTTTCAGTCTGTACCCTAAGGGTTTTCACACCTTAGCCACTGCATTAGGTGCTAAACTGTCCAAATGCCTCAGCACAGACGTGCCCAGCAACTCCCTGATGCTCATCAAGTGCATTGTAGGGCCTTTCATGTGGCTCCAAATTCTACAAGGTCTCATCCTCAACTATGTGCAGACCCATCTCCTCAATCCTGCTAATTAATTCTTTTCAACCCCCCCCCCAAAAAAAACTTGCCATTTCTAGAAGATTCTGTGAAGCTGTCGGCATCTCCTTCTTTCACTGTCTCACATCCTTCCATTTTACACTCCCTGGGACATATTGTAAGTTTAGAAATTGTTTTTGCATGGCAAGAGTTTGGCTTAATTAATAACGATTAACAAACGGAGTTTAGGAATCTACCTGAAACAATATACCAGTTAACCTTAACTTGAAAAATTTATTCTAAGGTGACATTTCTTCCTAAAAATTTTTGAAGGTGGAATGATGGGAACAGCACCTGTTGTATTCATACTTCAATGACAGGAAAATCATTTATTAAATTATTTTGGTCTTTCAGTATTCAGGACTGCAGCTTACCTATATATAGCGAGACAGTGACTAAACATCTTGATTATGTAACCCAATTGAACAAACCTAGATTTTTGAAAAGGGACGATTAAGAAGGAACAAAGCATCTGAATTCAAACACAGAATGTGTAATATAATATTCTGATTTGTTTAACTCCTGCCCTTCCTCACCTCAGTGTCCCTGTGTGTTTTCAAGATCCAAAGCTCTCCTTATCAAGAAACTTACCTCATATCCAGCAAGATTCAGAATTTGAGAGCCCTGTAGAATCTCTCTCTCTCTCTCTCTCTCTCTCTCTCTCTCTCTCTCTCTCTCTCTCTCGCTC